ATCACCTACCAGTAACTTAACTGAACATTTTTACGAAATAGTGAAAAACGCATCCCTTCATATTAAATAGTGTAGCACTGGAACCAGTCATTTTATTGCAATGACATCTGGCTTATAATGGAATTTTGGACATTAAGGAAATTGTGGCAAAATCAAATTTTATATCGTATTTTTCTAACGTGGTAATGTGTGAAACAGGCACTGACATGCATTGCAAGTTCTTTGATACATGTGCAATACTAATGTGTTTGACATCTTCCACCTGGTGTATTTCTATGCGAGCAGACAATGCAGACTCGTTTTCTTCCACATTAATATGTAATTTACTGTCCAGTCTGTTATTTGAAGATGTAGGACAAACCTGTGATTCCTGAAAAACACTTCTCAATTATTCGATCATATTTCAGTGTATATTCCATCTTTTGCTTTTTTGTATAATTTGAATGGGAAATTTCAAGGAAACAAGTGCTTGAAAATTTTGAACTGGCATAAGTTTATCCTATATAATCACCAGCAATCTCTTTGTGTCCCCTGAGAGGCGACAGCCAAGTACAAAGAGCCAGTTATTTGTCCCTTTCTATGATTACCAGATCTTCACCCCAAGGCTTGGGCAGGACTATATATATGATGTCTGGAAACTTGCAGCACCTATGTGGTATGAGCTCCTGTTAATGGTAACCATGGGCCATCTTTCCTACACCACAAGGAGTGCCAAAATGCAAACATTTAGCTTTCTTTGCCATCTTCCTTTTTTTTTGAGACATGGTCTTGTTCCTGTCATCCAGGTTGGAGTACAGTGATATAATCATAGCTCATTGTAACCTTAAACTCCCGTCAATCCTCCTGCCTCAGCCTCCCAGCAGCTGGGACTATAGGCATGCACCATTACACCTGGCTAATTTTCTTTGCCACTTTCTATTCCAAAAATATATAAAGGATACAATTCTAAAATACTAATTAACTTTATAAATGAGATAGTCACAGAGATTGTAAAAGATGGGAAAAGGCCGGGCTCAGTGGCTCAGCCTGTAATCCCAGCACTTTGGGAGGCTGAGACGAGTGGACTGCCTAAGCCTGCGGGCTCAAGACCAGCCTGGGCAACTTGGTGAGACCTCATCTCTACAATAAATGAAAAATTAGCCAGGCATAGTAGTGCACGCCTGTAGTTCCAGCTACTTGGAAGGCTGAGGCAGAAGGATTGCCGGGGCCCAGCAGGTCAATGCTGGGGTGGCCATGAGCGTGCCACTGCATTCCAGCCTGGGTGACAAGAGTGTGAGACTCCAACTCAAAAAAAATAAAAAGGATGAGAAAAAAAAAACCAGGCAGTAGCCGGGTTTGGTGGCTCAGCCTGTAATCCTGCACTTTTGGGAAGCTGAGGTGAGTGGATTGCCTGAGCCCGTGGGTTCGAGACCCGCCTGGGCAGCAAGACCTCATCTCTACAATAAATCAAAAAAGTCAGCCGGGCGTGGTAGTGCATGCCTGTAATTCCGGCTACTTGGAAGGCTGAGGTGGAAGGATCGCTGGAGCCCAGCAGGTCGAGGCTGCAGTGGCTGGGAGCGGCCACTGCACTCCAGTCTGGGTGACAGAGTGAGACTCGAACTCAAAAAAAAAACCAGGCAGTTTAAGTGAAGAAACAATGCAAGAAAACCTTTTAGAAAACTGAAACAAAATCTGACCAGGCTTAGTGGCTCATCCTGTAATCCCAGCACTTTGGGAGGCCGAGGTGAGTGGATTGCCTGAGTGCATGGGTTTGAGACCAGGCTGAGCAACTTGGCAAGACCTCATCTCTACAATAAAAAATTAGCTGGGCGTGGTAGTGCACGCCTGTAGCTCCAGCTACTTGGAAGGCTGAGGCGGAAGAATTGCCAGAGTCCAGCACGTCAGCGCTGGGTTAGCTGTGAGTAGGCCACTGCACTCCAGCCTGGGCAACAGTGAGACTCCAACTGAAAAAAAAAATTGAAACAAAACTTGATTAACTAGTGAAGTCTTCAAAAATAAACTAAAGGAGGCTGCATGTGGTGGCTCATTTGGGAATTTGGGAGGCCAAGGCAAGAGGATTGCCTGAGTCCAGGGGTTCCACACCAGCCTGGGTGACTTGGCAAGACTTCATCTATACATTAAATCAAAAAATTATGGCCGGGCTCAGTGGCTTAGTCTGTAATCCCAGCACTTTGGGAGGCAAAGGTGAGTGGATTGCCTGTGCCCATGGGTTCGAGACCAGTCTGGGCAACTTGACGAGACCTCATCTCTACAATAAATCAAAAATTAGCTGGACGTGGTAGTGCACACCTATAGTTCAGCTGCTTGGAAGGCTGAGGTGGAAGGACTGATGGAGCCCAGTGGGTAGACGCAGGGGTGGCCGTGAGTGTGCCACTGCACTCCAGCCTAGGCCACAGAGTGAGACTCCAACTCAAAAAAAAAAAAATTAGCCAGATGTAGTGGCATACATCTGTAGTTCCAGCTACTTGGAAGGCTGAGGCAGAAGAGTCACCTGAGCTCTGCAGGTCGAGGCTGCAGTGGCCATGAATATGCCTCTGTACTCTAGACTGGGTGACAGAGTGAGACTCTGATTGAAAAAATAAACTAAAGATCAGAGGAAAATCATTCCATATCTTATTTTGAGTTGGAGTCTCACTCTGTTTGTTGCACAGGCTAGTATGCAGAGACACAATCACAGCCACCACAGCCTCAACCTCCTGGGCTCAGGAGATCCTTCTGCCTCAGCCTCCCAAGTAGCTAGGACTACAGGTATGTGCTACCACACCTGGGTGATTTTTTTTTTTATTGTAGAGACACAGTCTTGTCACATTGCCCAGGCTGGTCTCGAACTCCTGGGCTCAGGCAATCCTCTTACCTCAGCCTCCCAAAGTGCTGGGATTACAGGCATGAGCCACTGTGCCTGGCTTCATTCCACAATTTAAATTTGCTTCATGCAATGGATACATTCCTAAAGGGCCATTAGTATCCTTTTTTTTTTTTTTAGTTGGAGCCTCACTCTGTCGCCCAGACTGGAGTGCAGTGGCCGCTCCTGGCTACCACAGCCTCGACCTTCTGGGCTCCAGCGATCCTTCTGCCTCAGCCTTCCAAGTAGCCGGAATTACAGGCATGCGCTACCACGCCCAGCTAATTTTTGATTTATTGTAGAG